CTCCTAGCATGATACTGCCGCCACCATGCTTCACAGTAGGGATGGTCTTATCAGTATGCTGTTCACTGTTACATTTGCACCAAACATAGCGCATACCATTGAAGCTTAAAAGGTAGCTTTTGGTCTCGTCAACTATAACATCTTCTTTCACTTGGTCTGAGAGTCTCCCATGTGCCCTTTGGCAAAGTGTAATCAAGATTTATCTTACTTATTTGTCACTCTCCCATGAAGCACAAATTTGTGAGGCTCTCAGGCAATTGTCATGTGCACAGTTTCTCCCCTCTCAGCCATGGACACAGACCTCTTGAAGGGCTCCCTGACTAGTTCTCTTCTCACCTGGAAACAACCTCTTCTTTACAGGTTCACAGTTGTGTCATATTTCTACATTTCTTTATAATGGACTTGACTGCTTTTGGGGATATATAATGCCTTGGAAAAATGATTATACACTTCCCCTGACAGGTGCTTTTCAATAACTCTATCCCAGATTTACTTTAAAATATCCTTTGTCTTTATGATATCGTTTTTGTTGTGGCCTGTACTAATCAAATGAGGGACTTCCCAGAGTTAGGTATATTTATCTTGAATTCATGTGAAACACCCTAATTGCACACAGGTGGACTCCATTCAACAAACTGTGACTTCTGAAGACACAGGAGCCTATGCTGGTACTGTATGTCATAATAAAAGGAGATGAATACTTAAACAATCACTTATTTTCAGTTTTCTATTTATAATTCATTTAGGAGCATCTGTAGAATTTTGTTTTGTGTATTTTGAGTTTTTTTGTATTGATCAATGGCCAAAATTCCCATATAAATACATTGTGATTTTATGTTGCAATGCAGTAAAATGTGAAAAAGTCAAAGGGGGTGAGTATGGTACTCACCATATATGAGACTTTTAGTAATTTAGCTTTGCTTCTAGTAAATAAAAGCTTGTGTAGTTTTGTATCTTAATGATCTCCATCGATGTTTCTTGTACACTACTGGTGCAGTATAAGATCCTCTTTATGGTTTCACAACCTGCCATGCAGAATGAATTCGATTCCTCTAAAAGATTAAAAATAAAGTTCTGTCTCTGTTTCATGCAACAGTGGGACATTTACACTATCTTTCTCTTAGAAATAGCTTTTTTCCATCTGTTTTCAACTTTTTGCTCATTTCTTTTTCCCTGCTTGCATTGGTAAAGGAAAGAATCTCTTGAAAGAAGACTGACCCCCCTTGCAGCTGTGTCAGCCATTATCATCAAACAGATGAAAGGCTGAGCCCCAGCAGGGATAATGACAGCCACATGATGTGTGGACTGGATTGATTCCTTTGCTTTGTGGGTGTAGGCTTTGCACCTAGTGAGAATGAAAGTGAGAGATGGCTAAAAGGAGGGAGAATGTGAAGGCAGTGATACACAGGCAGTAGAATCTACTGTATTCTGGAAACTAGGAGAAATAATACAAAAAGCTGTGAGATCACCATGGAAACTGCTCATGACAAGATATTGCAGAAGACATTGCCTGACGATTTCAGCCAAGCTTCACAGTGAGATCAAAAAGGAATCCACCACTCGCTACAAAGATGCCATCCTCAGCTTCCAAAAAGGAATCCACCACCAGATGGCAAAGAGGCCATCTCCATTTCAAAGCTGGTTTACTCTAGGTCTCTTGGTCCTTTTAAACATCTGTTTTGGTCTCATAATCATGATCATGAAAAGTTACGACAGCCTGCACCTCTGTAAGACGGATAGATACCAAACCACCACTTCTCCTCTTTGTCCTATTGCCTGCAGCAAAGCATTTTTCTGCTCCAGGAAATGCATTGAGGCAAAGAATTAAATCAATTTGCCTTCTATTTATTTCATAAGATAAGCAGACATGCATTGCTAATCCACCTGCTATTTCATTCCGATCTATACTAACCTGTAGTGCACTTTGCTGTCATCCCAGTTCGTTCCAAGAAGACAGTCACACTCCAGACCAGTTTAGTTCTTTAAAAAATCATACGATTAACTGCACTTGGTTTCTTAGGCGATCTTGTTTGAACCCTGTAGATTCCCACAAGAGGCAACACGCTAATAGGAAGTGAAGTGGTTCACTCCTGGAAACAGCAACAGTGTTCTAGGCAGGTTGTTGCTGGCTGAAACTTGGATAGTAGTTTTGGATTATCAGCAAACCACTTAAAGGACTGTGATCTCGTCTCTTCAGCTTGGTGTTCAGAGCAGATCTGCAATGATGCGATGGGTAGCGCTGCTGATTAATGAGAGCCATTACATTGTTAAGGCCAAAGGGAATGGGAGTTTAATCTCCGCATTTATAATAATAACAGCCTCTCTGGCTTTTGCCCTGTGAAGAAGCTTTGCTGGCTCCACCAAGCTGAGAGCAGTTGGTTGATGGGGAACAGAAGAGGCAGTGAGATGGGACAGAGACTATAAAACTCAGCTTCACTGCGCATCTTGTGAGCCTTGTACAGTATGTTTGACTGCCTGTAGTTTTGCTCTTTCAAGGTTGTTGAAGACTAATGTGGTGGTTGTGTTTATTGTACTGCTGTAATGAGATTGGTTGGACAGATTGTTCCCTTATGAAAGGAAAGCAGAATGAAGCAATTGGGACAATCCAAAGCACTGAGGTCTTGGGCAACAGCTACAGTATTTTTTCCTAATGTGTATGATTTGCAGATATCTGGAATTTGAGACATTTTCTTGTTTTATATGTATTGTTTGTTACCTTGTGTGCTATAATTTCCCTCACGGGATCAATAAAGTATCTATCTATCTAATGCGTACCTGAATTCAACAAATAAAGCCCAGATGAAGCCCACGTTATAACATTCTAATGAAGATTTGTTACTGTGATTGAACTTCTAATATGGGCAGTTGAAAGACTGGAGAGGATAAAAAAGGAGGGCTCCTTGTAAAAGTTCGCAGTAGCGTCTCTATGTTTGCCGGAGCCAGTCTGATGAGAGCTCGGGAAGAAAGTGAGTGGAGGAGCTCTCAGGAGGCCTTCCTCTGGCACTGGTGATGATGACAGTGTCACAGATTAAGAATACATACTGTAGTTAAAAGGAACTTGTTTACATATTTGTTTTAGAATTTAGTAGGTTTGACAAATGCAGCAGACAAAGAGCTCCCTACATGAAAGGAGATGGTTGCAAACAGATGAAATCTGAGACAGCCTGTTATACTGTATGCTGTAGACTGTAGCTCCTTACCCTGTCACACCTTTGGGGGAGAGGAACAAGCAATCAAACTGTCCAGTGTGATGCCAGTGTCTTCGGGACATGTATGCTTCTTTCACATCCTTATTTCTGTCCCCTTTATCAGTGAAAGATAACCTTATAAACAACACGTGCCTTCCCCCTAGGCATCTTGTCTGCATGTGAAAGAAGCAAATTTGCTTCTTTGTTTTCTAAAGAAATGAATGTGGTGCTCAAAAGCTTCAGCGATAATGGTACAGTAGGTTTAATCAGAGGCTTGTTTTGTTTGGTGCTTTGCTTCTGTCTCTTCTGAATTTAAAGGCAGGAAGAAAATCGTGGTGAGCAGTGTTCTGTGTTCTCTCTCTCAGCACGGCTTTTTCCTGCCGGTTGTTTAGCCTGCTGCTCTCACCCGATGCTGGTGTGACACTTTACTGCAGTCCTGCTTCTCCACACTAATTAGCAGTTTGGTTCTGGCATTTCCAGTAGTGATATACAGAGAGACACTGATTTTCAGGAGCTGAAACTGCTTTTAATCTTTTTCTTTTTTTTCATGCAGGTGGCTACAAGGGATCTGATTGTTTTATATATCTTCTTATTGTTCCGTCAGTGACTGCAGGTTCTATTGACAGCCTTGCAGCATTGTTCCTTTATCACAGTATGAATTTGGATAATTACAATGGCCTCCAAATGCTTTTACATTTGACCTGTAACTGTTACTCAGTGTCACTATGAAATGCAGATAATTTGACAAAATGCTAAGTATTTTGGGCAACAGTTGGGAAGCTCTCCTTAATCTGGAGTCTGTGGCAGAGCTCCATTGCAAGATGAAATGAAATGGCATGAATTTGCCAAACAGAAGCTCTTTGACTCCCAAGACAAATGGGATCACAAAATGTTGGATGAATCACAAAATGAAATTGTGGACAGGCAGTGTGATGAGCTCAGAAGAGTGAATGACATATACAAAATGAATGTCATCCTTTCTGTGAAGAATAGAAATTAGCCTGTTCTGCTTTAGAGATGTTTTGCGTCCCCTGGTCCTGACATCCTACTCAAAAGTGACGGATGTTTTATCCATGAGCTGGTGCCTTCCATCACAAAAGTTTAAGCTTGGGTGAAAATGGATTTAATAGTATAAATGCCGTTAACAGATTACAAGAGACTCTTGAGGTTATCAAAGTCAAAAGTGAATCACAATATACTGAATGCTGGGGTATGAATGAACCTGAATTTCATATATTTAGAAATATATGTTACTATTTTGGTGAATGTTAAGCATACAAGTATGCCATACAGATATTGTTCTTAGTGTGTCCTATAATAAAGAATGTAGCCCTGCTACGTTTTCTTTTTCTACAGTTTCATCAAGGGTATGGATACATTTGGACACCACTGTATCTAAGACACTGATATTGAATGCTTCCATATACAGATTATAGCAGTGTGATCTGTGTGGGAGTTACAAACTGCATACTCTGATATCTAAGTGGTGCCTCCTAAGGTGTGCAGTAGTTTGAAGTATTTGGCTTGACTTTATTTGATCCATCCCTTGTAGTTTCTAAAATGTCAACCAGAACCTTCCTGCAAGGATGGCATTTTCCTATATCAAAAGACTGAATTTTGTGATGAACCTGAGAGATCTGATGCTGTTACTTGTTCATTCAGCAGCTATGTTTTTTTTTAAACTCTGCTAATGTAAATCCCTACTGTTGAAGCTGGAAACCCAATACATTGTGTGCAAATTACAGTATATCGGGCTCCTGACTAGTACATCCTGGGGGAGGTATTGACCTCAGCATGTTTTCTTCCTTGCAGTTCTGGATGTCAGCTCTGGCCACGACAATCCCTGTACCCTGTGGAGCCTTCATGCCTGTCTTCCTCATCGGTAAGGACGTTCCCCCTTTTCCTCTCCCCTCCTCGTGAACATGAGCTCCTAGTGACTGGACCCATGTTTCCTTGTCTCCTGAGGGCCCTAAAGCATGCCTGTCTTACAGGGGCGGCGTTTGGACGCCTGGTGGGCGAGAGCATGGCAGCCTGGTTTCCAGATGGCATCCACACTGACGGCATCATCTACCCCATTGTGCCAGGGGGGTATGCTGTAGTGGGTGAGTTCCCATGCCGAGCTCTTGCAGTCTTGGGCTGAAACCACCTGTCTGTGTGGACCTCATTGAAGCAAGTATTTGAGCACACACATCTAGACTCTGCTAATGTTAGTCTAATTCTGGGCAGACAACTGTAATGAGGGGGAGAAACCCACTGCATGTCATCAGGTGCTTTTTTCTTTTTTGTCTGCTTTCTTTGTTGGAAAAAGTAGGTTGCAGGTACAATTTTGAAAATGATTCTCTGAGACCCTATCTGGATAGTCACTGACACTTCATGTCCCCTCCCTGGAATTCTGACAGGCAAAGGAAATATCTATTTTCTAAGGTGAAACAGAGACATGACATAAGGGCGCAAAACTTATTTGTAAAATAAGGTTCAAAACTGCATGTTCTGTCCTGTTCCACATTTTCTGTTGACCACCTGTTTACCTACTTAACCAACAGTACATAAACTGCAACCTTCAGATTCACATAACACATTCTTGGAGCAATTAGCCACTGAATCATCTGACAATCAAAATGGGCCTCATTATTAATTAATTCAAGAAATCACAGGTTTAGAACAGGACTGTACTACTAGGCAGCTGTAACTGGGATTCCTCAAACACCCTCTCCACACTCTTATCAGTGCTGGGTCGACTTGATGCTGGCTAGGGTTTCCTGGCCTGCTGTGCAGTGTCCTGTTCGGCTGCCATGCTGTCTATGAACTTGGTGTTATGAGTGAGAGCTGCAGTGCTCCTCCATAGTTTGCTTACCTCCGCTGTTGGTGCTGTGTGACTCACTGTGTGAACAGCAGGTGGTGAGCTTATTTTGGAGTGTGTCCTCTGCACCTTTCTTGTGCTGCTTGGAGGACGGAGGCAGTGAGCCAAGTTTAAATTAGGAATGAAAATTCCTTTATTAGGGGGTTCTAAAAAGAGAAATATTTGATAATTGTTTTTATTTCAGAAGTAATCTCTTTACCTGCTCAGCACATTAGCACTGTCAACAGCTGCTAAATAGCATGTGTATGTTTAGGACAGGATGGCTCATGGAGTGATGAGAATTACAAAAATAACAAGCCATGGGAGTTTTTTTTTTCTATTTCAAAAACATTGTGTTCTTATGTCATGTTTCTATTTAACCTTTAAAAATAGATATTTAATTTGCATGTTTGAATACCAGGGAGGGAATGTGGAGAGTTACAGTGTTGAATTTATTGGACACTAATGAGTCTAAAAATACCAGCACACACTATGGGAGCTATGTATGCTGTCTTCCTGCCCCCTGCTTCTCTCGCAGCTGGCAGAGACTGCAGCAATGGCAGGAGCTCTGACTCTCTGTGCTATTTACCAGTGTATGGCCATCATTGACAGAGCTTCCACCTGCATCATGAACAGGGTTGTCTTCTGATCTCTTTAAGTTGGACTTGAAGATCCTTTATCCTGCATTCTCATCCTGTGCCTTGCAGCTCTGCTATGTCAGCTTGCTTCCTTATTGAAATTCTGTTGCCCGGCCTTTCTTGCCCTCGTTATCTTATTTTTCCTGAATTTCTTTCCTCTCTTCCATTTTTGCTGCCTTCTGGGCACCTGCCTGGAACTTTCCCTCACCCTTCTATGTCTTCTGCTCTCTCGCTCTACTTTCCTGTTCCTCCTGTGGTGAAACAAACTTCCCACGAACATCGGGACAGCACTGTTGCTCACCAGCTTCCAGCTCCAATGCTTGTAGTATATTATTGTGCCTTTTTTGCCTTTCATTATTATTATTTACTGTGTTGTAGTGTACTGTGCACATTATTTGAATGTGTATTTGTTGTACTATGCACGTCCTGAGAGAACAGCATGAATACAAATATCCCAATATACATGTACATATGGCAAATAAACTCCTCTCCTCCTCAAAGCCCAATATTCAAGCTGTTGTGCCTAGAATCTCTCTTCCTTGCAGCCTTTAAACCGCTATCACCAGCAGTTCACTAATTGACATGACTTCTTCAGTAGATCCGATGTGAAGTATCCTTATTGTATTATTATATTATTATGTTTTATTGTATGCAGTTATGTCAGCTTCGATAAAAGCCTCGTCTTATGAAACATAAAAAGTCACGAGCCTCCAACATTTCACACACGTGTCCTTCTTTGAAGGCTCAGCTGCCAGGACAGAATGAAGGCGCTAATGACTAACACACACTTGGCTGAGCATTTGCTGCAGATATGGCAGCGCTTCTGATCAGAAAGTCTGTCTCATTTCTCGACCTCCGTGTCTCAGGGGCCGCCGCGCTGTCAGGAGCGGTCACCCACACTGTTTCGACAGCGGTGATTGTGTTCGAGCTGACGGGACAGATCTCCCACATCCTGCCGGTGATGATCGCAGTGATCCTGGCCAATGCGGTGGCCCAGAGCCTGCAGCCCTCGCTCTACGACTCCATCATCCGCATCAAGAAGCTGCCCTACCTCCCTGAGCTGGGCTGGGGTCACCACGAGTGAGTGCCCTGTCGCGCTCTCTAGCTAGCCAGCCTCCGTCACTGTCGGCTGCAGGTACCTGTTTCAGGTGTGGTCGGTTGCACATGCAGTTTCAGTCAGAAGGGAGGGAATGCCAGCAGAAGCATGTGAGAACAGCACTGGGGTATTTTTTTCTTGCACAAACTCAAAGGTCACTTTAGATTCATTTCAAAGGGTTCCCCTTCGCACCGCCTCTTGTTGTTCTTTTGATGGCACATCTGTCGTCTTTTCCTTTTAATTGGCACAGTTTATGAAGATGGCATTTTCTCCCTGACTTGCTTTTTATCCCTTATCATTCCTCCTCCTTCATTAAGTGACTCCCTTCCCTTCTGTTGTGCCCCCGCAATCTCTTAAATTTTAAGCCCATGCCCAGTGGAGAGATGGTAATATCATTTGTAAGTAAAGTGAAGATCATAAAAATGCTTGAAAGTATTAAGCTTGTCGGTAAATGTTTATATCATAGTATTATAAGAACACTGTTGGGCCATGGGATGTTCCACACTTGAAACATGCGCATATGTGCACTTGGACATACTGTACACTCTGGGTGCCACGCCCACAAGTGCACTCTGCATGCATACATTCACACACTCCCTCACGGATACAGTTTGCTTACATGTTAACTGTTCTCCGTATTTAAAAAGGTCCATAGGCTTTGTTCATAAGCACTGCAGTCCGAGGTAAGAAGATGGCTGGCTCTTACTGAGCAGTTTCTTTAAAAAATCAAAACAATTTGAAGGCACAGGTGAAAAGTTTTGCCACAAATGAGTTATGAATAGCTGCAGGTGTTTGCATAGACCCAGTTAAAATCAAAAGGAGATTATTGGATATTTCAGACAGACTCGGGGCCACTCATGTCAGTGGACTCGGGGCCACTCTCCTCCCCAGGACACTCCACAGGCTGCTAGCGTCTGTTACAAAGCACCATCAACTAATAATGGCATTCAGCAGAATGTGTAGTGCTTGTTATCCTGGTTCTGTTGATAGTGTAGTTTTTCTTTTTTCTTAAAGAATTCTCTCCCACGTCTCTACCGTAAGTGTTCACTGTAGGCTGTCTGCTTTAGCAAACTGTACAGTTTAAAAAATCTATATAGAGTATATCTATAAATAAATCACAGCGGTGACTGCTGACCCTTTGCTTGCGTGCAGCACGTTCCCTGTCCTCTGTTCTATTCAATAAGCTGTCTTCCTCTCTCCTATCCCCTCTCCACCTGATTGCTCTGTACTACACCATATCAGAACGCTCTGCTGCCTTGTTCTTTCAGCTCTACATGCACATGCTGTAATGGATTTTTTGAGAGCTGGTTTTCCCGAGTCTGCCTGGTGGCCAAGGAGATCGATCATGCTCCGAATACAAATCTGCAGCTCTGAGGGCACTTAGTTGAGGTTGGACAGCGATTAGACTCCAGCTGCATAGCACCAAGAGCCAGTGTGGGGTTTACATACTGCTAGCTCCTGTGCACAACAGAAGAGCTGAAACTGAAAAGCACATTCTTATTAATGCCTAAGCCAGTAGTGGTATTGTACTCAAGGATGACAGTCTTGAAGTTTTCTTGGAACCCAAGACAGCCTGCTCTTGAGACAGCCCTGCAATGGGGTTGTTGTTCCCATCTCTGTCAGGTGCTGCCCTGGCTTACCAGAGAGCTATTTGATACAGAGGACTGTGTTGGGCTCACAGGGATTTACACCCCTGGTAAGGCTCTGCTCCCTTTGCCATGTCCTGGAGTGATGCAGTATTAGCAAAGTCTGGATTTCAGAGAAGCTGTTCAAAATCCTTATGGCTAGCATTTTGATCCATTTTAGGTTTTGAGATTTTCTTCCCTCCCTCTTTTTTCTGAGCAAAGAAAAAAGGCTGAGCAGTGATTCACAAAGCCTCACAAAACTGTTGGGTCTGCACTTGAGAGCTGCACCGAGCTCTCATGAAGTTTTGCCTGAGTATATTCGCAGAGTGTTCTCACAGCTTGCTCAAGATTTTCACAGACCCATCCTACACATTTACTTTTCTTTGCCAGAACCTTAGTTGGTTTACAACATGGACTTTTATGGTTTGATACAGTACCTCTGTCCAACAGTCTTGTCATTCTCACCTTTCAGATGAAGAATCCAGCTAAATATTTAAGAATTATTTTGCATGAACAAGAGGGTTCAGTTCATTCAAAAGTTGCTAGAGCATCAACTAAAACTGCAAAATCCTTTGTGAAGGTTTTGTTTAGTGAGCAGTTCTCCCTTGTCTGAGTTACTCTTAGTGGTGCCCTGCTGCAGTCTTTCCACAGTTATGCGTGTGTAGGTGTGTGGTGAAAATTAAGAAGGCAGTGAAAATGAATAAGACACTGTCTCATCTGCTGTGCTGCGAGGTAAGGTTACTGCCTTCCATTGTACTTCTTTCAATTCTAGACACTTTAAACATTAGGAGCTCATTTAATTAGCAGGACCCAGAGCACTGTGGCAGAATTAAAGAGTTTTGCACACTGTGATTAGCCAGTGAATATCAATTCTAAGAAGAAGTCTTTTCTATCTCTCCTCTAAAGCTTTAAACATTTTTAAAGAGACAACTAGCCAGTTGCTATTTGCTGCTATGGCATTGCAGAGATCTTTTCTTTCAGTTTTGACACGGTCCTGTCTCTCCCAGCCTTATCAGTAGGGAAGTTTTTCTTAAGACAAACTTTATTACAACAAAGTACACAGTTTTTGCAAAGAATACAACTCTAATATAAAATTCCTTCATTTTTTAATCTTAAAAATGATTGTCCATTCTCAATCAGTCCATTTAGCAAGTGGTCATTAACAAAGTCAGTCCAAGCCTCCTGAGTGCTACCTCTTGCTGTAGTCCATTCTGTATCTCAAAAAACCCGTCTTGGCTCTGAAACTGCGATGGTCCAGTTTTCTGAGCACTGTGGAGCAGTGGTAAGGGTTTTGTACTCCTAATTGGATGATTTTGGGTTCAAATCCCAGGTGATTCAGTAGTGGATTTTTTTATCAAAAACTTTTTCACAAAAAGCATCTCACAATAGGTACACACTCTAACAGATAATTAGACTGATATCAATTAAAAACGTCTATCAGTTATCTGTTATCTTGGAGTCCATCCAAACCCTACCACTTCCTTTTGTCCATGCCATTTTCCTGTCCCCATGGAAATTTTCAAAGAAAAACATCTCAAAATAGTAAACATTCTCACAATCTGTACATGTGCTAGCACATTATGAAACTACCAATAAAAACTTTTGTAAAAGACTTGATTTTCCATTTTCCATCAGTGCAAGTGGATGATGGGGCCGTATTTGTGCAATTAAAGAATCCATCCAAGCCCTACCACTTGCTTTTGTCCATTTGTCCCTGTTCAGGGCCTAAACTCCTTTCCAGCGCTCGCTCGCCGTGGGGAAACCCCATTTGGCGACGTCACGCTTCATCCTCCTTCTGAGGTCCGCAAGGATCCTCTCCTCCAGCTCCCTCGCTCCCCACTCTGCGTTGTGCTGATTGAGATTGTTCTTCATGCTCCTTGTTTTATCAGAGACACCAGCAGCCAAAGCAAGCATTGTGTCCCTTTGTCCAATCCAGTCAGTGCAAGCCCCAGCAGGATGCACTGGTAACTGAGCACCACTGCCGCAACCCAGGAGTTGAAAAGTTTAGTCCATTCTGTCCCACACTGCCTTGGCAAAAGGACAGCTCCAGAACAACTGCTCCTGAGTCTCCTCGGTGAAATGTGTATCCTGGGGGCAATGCGGTTTCCTGGTGAGTGAGTGTCTGTAAAGAACCTCTCTGGTCACAAGCCTCTGTTGCATGGCCATCCAGTTGAGGTCCTTCAGCTTGTTGTTCAGTTCTTTCGGCGGTGGAAAATACCCCTGTCTGAGGCAGGCTTAAGCATGGTTGGCTTTTTCAGTACCCGCAGGATTAAATTCTAACCCAGGGATCAAGACTGAGTTTCAGGACAGGATGCAGAGTTTCCTTGCTTTCATTCGAGCCAATAGTTACTAAACTGATAAGATGGAAAAATGTAACATCTGACCCATCACTGTTCCCTTTAAAGCAGGGAAGTAATTAACCTTCAGTCTTCCAGGCTTACTGTATGAGACGGTGTGTTCTATGGATGTGTCATGGCACTGTGCTTCTCAAAGCCTGATGGGAAGGCTTACTGCATGTCTGCTGAGCAAAGGGCCGTTCATCCTCGCTGGGTGACAAGATGAGAACAGCCAAGGCCACAAAAGTAAAACCCCTCTGTCTCCATCTAACTTTGTTGTCTTTCCCCTCGTTCCAACCTCCTCCATCATCATTCTTTTTTCCTCCTTCCTCTTTTCCTTACTTTCTCTTCTTCCTCTGTCCCTCATGGTCTTCCTCTCTTGCTAGTTTCACCGCTTTCTCAATTCCATTCTTCCCTGCTTCTTCATCTTGCTGTTTCTGTATTGTCAGTCATCTTTCCCTCTGGCTACTCTTTATTCCAGTCCCTATCTCCCTCTTTCAGTTCTCTTTTTTTTCCAATTCTTTGACCTCCTCCTTGTCCCTTTTTCTCTCCTGTCTCTCTCTTGCTCCATCTCTTTCCAGCACCGACACAGTTAATCAAAACCCCTGACCATCTCACCACTTCTCTCTTTATGCAACAGTATTAATTTACCAAGCATTTCAGCTTAATAATGCTGCCGCCTGGTCCACGTACAGTAGTTTAGGGAACAATGGAGATGTAAGAGCTGTGCCCTCGAGGGAAATCCTAGGTGTTAACTCCACTCATGAACTAAATTAGCGTGGCCATGGTGTAAAGATTAAATGAGTGCGCAGGGAAAAACCCTCATGGCTTCTCACTGGGTATTAGAGATCCACCTTTGGCAAGAGAGCCTGAACAAATTACAGCTGTGTAAGTTTCCTTAATTTGCTGAATTCCTCTGGAACTGTACACACAAACCTCAAACACCTACACCCACTGTGCAGACAAAACGGATATAGCTTCTCTGCAGAAGAGCATCAGGATTAACTCCTAGTTTAAAAGGTT